ATACAATTATGAACATACACTGAACAGCGCAAAAATAAACCTGTACAGACCACCACACCATAACACAAACAGTCAAAGATCAGAACACACACACATTCACACAACCAACTCTTACAAATACCACCTAGCACAACAAACCAAACCAGGCAACCATTACCTATATCCAGGAGTACAACCAGAATTTCACAAAAAAAGTTCTACACACAATCCACATACAATCAATACAAAACAACAAACCTAGGAACATCTGGAACAGGCCTCCCTAACAAAAAGCCAACACACCTATATAGAGCCATCGAGAAACAACAACCCCAATTTTACCAAGGAAACTCTCACTGGCTAGAAAACTCAAATGTACAGGAAGAAGGTATCTCTTAGAAAACCCAAGATATATTAAAAAGAAACAATCATTATTTTTTAGAAGCCCCAGTCCGAACAAGAAAACCCGTTTAGATGACACAAAACCCAAAATAATAAACCTATCTACATATACACTTACAAATGACGAAATCAACCTACTGAAATTGGGCCTAAAATTCTGTCCTGCTCCTAAAAGCAATATAGTAGACTTAAAAAAAGACATTAAGGAATTTGAACGCAAACTGAGACTAAGAGAAATATTTAACAATAGCGAAAGTAGTACAGATGAGTCACTAGTAAAAAACAAATCCAATTTATTCCCAAACAAAAATAACAATACCAATGAGATAAATATATTTTTGAAAAACTCTGGAACCTTGACCTACAGGAAAAATCCAAATCATTCGACAATCTCACATATAGACAAAGACTAGCCTTAGAGAACATTCGAAAAAATAATAACATAATTATATAAAAAGAAGCAGATAAAGGCAGCGCTATAGTAATCATGGACAGAACATACTATAAAACAAAAATTCTAGAAACACTAGAGGATAGGAACAGCTACAAAGTAATTGACACTAACATAGACAAAAACATTATAACAAAAATTACAAAACTCTGCACAACACATAATAAAATATTAACAAAAAAGAGAAGGATTTCCTAATAAACTTTGTACCAAAAACAAGTAATTTCTACGGACTACCTAAAGTTCATAAATCGAGTGAAATAAAAGCAGCTATACATACACAAAAATCTGAATACATTAGCATCCCAAACCCCAGTGACCTTACATTCAGACCCATAGTAGCAGGACCAGTCTGTCCCACTAGCAAACTCAGTAACCTAATAGACATAATATTGCAACCATATACTAAACAAATTAAAAGCCACATCAGAGACGATATCCATTTCCTTAGCTGCATACCACAAAAGGTAGATCCGGGAACGCTTATGGCAACTTTTGACATCAGTAGCCTATACAGTAACATACCCCATGAACTAGGAAAAAAGGATCTCATTCTGGATTGAAAAACATCCAGAAATACTACATCCGAGATTCACTAAAGAGTTCATTATCGATAGTATAGACCTAATTCTAAACAATAACACCTTTGAATTTGACAACAAAACTATATCCAAACCCTAGGTACTGCGATGGGGAACAAAAATGGCACCAACATATGCCACCCCTAACATTAGCTTACCTAGAAGAAAACCTCTATGAAAAGATAGAACAAATATATGGGACAAATATAAAGACCCAATTCACTAAATCTTGGAAAAGATATCTAGATGATTGCTTCATCTTTTGGAAATCATCATGGGGTGATATTAACCAATTCCATACACTACTTCAAAACTTACACCCAAAAAATCAAATTCACGCAAGAATATAATTTTAACGAATTACCATTTTTAGATATACTCATTAGAAATAAAAACAACCACATAATCACAGATATCTACCACAAACCCACAGACACCCAACAATACGTTCATTTCAAGAGCCATCACCCAAAAAGCTGCCTAAAATTCATCCCCTATTCCCTAGCACGTAGAATTTGTACAATAGTGACTGATAAACATCTCCGAAAAATCCGCTTAGAAGAACTACATAAAACTCTCAAGAAACGAGGCTACCCCACAACACTAATAAACAAAGGTATTGAACTCAAGGAAAAGAAATTCCTCTAGACCAACTTAGAAATAAAAGAAACGTAACGTCGAACAAACTCTAGCATATGTCTCAACGTACAACAAAAACAACCCAGAAATATTCCCAGAAATCACAAAAATCTAGATTTACTTAGCAAGAATAATAAACTGAATAATATACTAAAAACAACCAAAATAATTAAGAGCAAACGCCAATCTAGAAACCTAAAACACATATTAACCTCATCTAAATTTAGTCAACACAAAATACAGGAGTCACAAAATGCAACAAAAAAGATGTGGAGTTTGTGACATCATTATAGAAGGAAACTCCTACACTTTTGAAAACCCAAAAAAAAACATTCACAATAAACAAAAACTTAAACTGCAACTCCAAAATGTAGTTTATGCACTTAAATGCACAAAATGTAAGAAGTCATATATAGGCATCAGCCAACAACTGAACAACAGGGTCTCCCTACACAAAAGCAATATAAAATTGACAGACAACAGAAAACTTTTTGTATCACAACACATTTTCAAATGTAACCAGGGTAAGTTTAATATCATGCCGATATATCAAACAGACAATTACTCGTATCTACAAATACAGGAAAAAACTTTATAGACAAATTCAAACCCGAACTGAATAGATCGTAACCCCCAAAAAAAAAAAAAAAAACATGCACACAGGGTGACCAAATACAATGATCGCTCACATACATGGACGCACACTCATATACGGGAGACACGAGGAGAGATATATATATGTGTATGTACACATACATACATTTATGTATGTATATGCGGATGTTGACAACTTAAGAAGTACGTGTGTGTGTGTGTGTGTGTATGTATGTGTGTGTGTGTGTATGTGTGTGTACTGGTTCCATGTAGCTTGGGAAATATGTGTGTATATGTGTGTGTGTACTGACTACTTGTGGTGGGATAGTGTGTATGTGCGTGTGTGTGTATGCGTGTATAAGTACAAATAAGTTTACGAATTCCTCGTAGTAAGGAAATATACGCACGCATATATACACGCATGCTGACAGGAACACGCCAAAATAGAAACAGATCCAAGAGCACATAGAGGTCACTAAAACATTAAAAGATTAAATGCCGATAACTACTCGCTGGACAAACCTTAATTGTTTTATGACCCTTCACGCAGAACTCTTCATTGACAATTCTAGAAAGAAAATTCGGATTGCCAACACACAAACAGAATGTCTCATATCGAGAATATTCCACATTGAACATGAAGAAAAATTAATTATTTTTAATAATATGTAAAAATCTCCACTTTCACCTGAAGACGGTTGCGAGACCAGACCAGAAACACGTGTCGTGAAATTATGTAAAACAAAGTATAATATTTTTTCTCAATAAATCCACATTACAACCAAAAACGTTTGCGGCACCCCTCTTCTTTTTAATATACATACTTTTCTCTCGTTGGAACCACTACAACATATTTCCTTTATATATATATATATATATTAATAGTAACGTTCATTCAGTACAAGGTCGGGGGGACATTCAAGGTAGAGGGTTATGTTAAGGGGCAGTTTATATACATAGGAAGGGAAGATAACGAGTAACACTCGACTTGAACAGGATAAGATTGTAGCGATCGGGGGAACATCCTCTTGAGAGTGAGTTCCACAGAACAATGGTTCAAGGGAAGAAGCTGTTCGAATGAACTTCTCACCAATGAAATAAGGAGGGAATCTGGGTAGCTTGCTACAATGTAAGTGACATGGCCAGTCCTAGAAGGTTAGTCCTGGCGGAACCAAGGAATGCAATTCGACCGAGCACTTTCCATGGAAGTAGCGATAGATTAGTGAGAGGCGCACCACATTAATTTCGCGTAAATGCATTTTGTTTTTGTTTTTTATTTTGTCGACTGCACAGTATAGTAGGGTCAGTTGGGCACCGTCTGTGAAATGAGAAAAAGAACACTATAACGCAATTCACTCCGCCAGAAATTTGGAAACGGCATGCTGTATTGCTTGGCATTTGTATCGGAAGCTCCAATACGAACATTCATTTCAGAGTGTTTGGGTGTCAATCTGAGGACAGTGGAAAAGATTCGGAAAGAGTTAGATGAGTCTAATGGTGATTACGAAGGTACAGTAGTTCGAAAAACTCACTTTGATCGTTCTGATAAGAAAAGAATCCCGAATTGGTTGGTGAGGATCTCAGACTCAACACTAAGGCCTACATCAAGTGCCTTGAGTAGTTAGTGCTGCCCTGGGTCAAGAGGGTGGCTGGTGGTAGACCCTGTGTCTCGCAACAGGACTCTGCACTATGCCACACAAGCAGGGGAACCCAGTCATGGCTGTCAGACAATTTCTGCGACCACATCACCCCTTATATCTGACCACCTAATCCCCCAGACTGCAATCCACTTGATTATTATGTGTAGGGTGCAGTCGAGCGAGAGACCAAAAAGCTTCCCCGTAACATCAAAGATGAATTGAAGGCAAGGATTATGGCAGCATTCACCAACTTAAGCAAGGATAGCGTCCAGAAGAGTTGCAGGAGACCCCGAATACTCTATAGTATTCCAAGATATTTTTGTGCAATTCTGGCTAATATATCTGTTAAAATGAGACATCAGTGTTATTTTCATTTTTTTTTTTTGTGTGTGATTTAGACGACAATTTATCCATCGCACTCTGTAGGCCTACAGAAGGATACTGAAAATAAGCATGTGAGAAACGAAGTTTTAAGGAAAACGACGCTTTTAAAAAAAGGCGCTTATATTTAGAATCAGAAAGAGATAATAAAGAAGGAGGGCTTGGAAAATTTGACACTCACAAGACAAACAGAGGGAAGCGGCAGATGGAAGAGTGGCAGGGAATAAAATTTTTATAAATGATCCACGGGCCAGTGCCGGTCAGCGGCCTGATGGTTGGGGACCCTTGTTTTAAATGTATCAGGTTCAGCTCTAACTGAATATTTGATTAGGCTTACGGCCATATCACGTTGAAACACCGGATCCCGTACGATCACTGAAGTTAAGCAACCTTGGGTCTGGTTAGGGCCTAGATGAGAGACCGCTTGGGAATATCAGGTCTTGTAACCTTGAATGTATGGATAGTGTAATGGATAATGGCTCGGAATTGTTAATTCGGAGAGTCGATTTTCAATTCCAGTTGGATTCGTTATATTTACTTATGTACAAATACCGTTTGGAAATGTATGAATCTACCTCTTCTCCCCCAGCTATGGGTTAATTAATGTATATCACTAAATCATTATTATCTAAAAAAAATCTTACAATCTAAAAATATTTTCTGACTTTAAATGACCTGCAAAAGGTTGATTTGCCCCAGAAAACGAATCAATCAATCAATGAGCATTTGATATGTGCCCATTCTTATAGTCCAGACATGTCGGTGGCTGTTGGGCTTAAAGGTAATTAGCCCATAATTTTTTTTTTTTCTTTGTTTATTTTTATTTTATTTTTTGTTTGCATATAACATTCTGGGGTCATATACTTTTTAGTTGATGTGCACATTTCTTTTTTTATCTTCGATTTAACTCTGATGAGAGAGAACCGATAAACCGGTTTAGCTGTTTTTAATCGTTATTATATTTTGATATTAATATTTTATTGAACTGACAAAGATACTATCAGCATGAGTAGATTAGTCAAAACTTTCAATAATTTTGGTGGCCCTGAAAATGGCTATTATTATTATTTTTCATGTCAAGGGACATAATTCATAATTTTGTTTTTTGATCATCCATAGAATAAAAAAAAATGAAATATTTCTAAAATAAAAAATAAAACTCTTTTAAAAATAGTTAACACTCGAAAATGGCATTAAACTTTAGATTTTTCGATTCTTCAAGCATCTTTTCACAAACAAATACATCGAAGTTTTTTTTTTTTCTTGTAGAAGCAGAAAATATACAGAATATTTTATTAAAAATGCGTATACTTTCCACAAAAATAATGTAAAGTTTAGGACCCTATTACCGATGTGTTCACAGCCGATATGGAGATTTTCAAAGCGTAGCTTATATGTGGCACAAGACCAAAAGAATAGGGTACCCAATGAGGATCGAACTCATTACTCGGTCATAATCGTTCCTAAACATTACGCTGCACCGAAGCGCACTTTGTTCACAGTCGATATGAAAGACTATTTTAAAAAGGATATAACACCTTCGGCGATTTTGATTTGTAAAAAATTCTAAAAATAGGAACATCACCAAAAATTAACTTATTAACCACAAGTTAATTAACTGACTTAAAAGATACGTCCACAAAAGGAAGAAAAAAGTAAGACTCACAAATAAAATAAAAGATGATAACGTTTATTAGTTAAATAAATGCTGATAATTTCAATGAAATCCAACAATTCCTTGAATTTTGGTAAATTTGAAAAAAATGAGGCGGGTACATATCGAAGGTGCTCATAATTTTGGAGGGACCTTAAAATTTAATAATTTAAATCAACTCTAAAAATTTAATGTAGATACTTTTTTTTACCTCGTCACAAATTTAAATTTTATCACTAAAGCACGCATATCGACCAAAGCAAAGGCAGATACATTTTCAATTTGTGATGACATCAAGACTAAAAACGATACAGCCCCTTATAATATATAATTCACACTTACCTGACACCCAGTGCCCACTACAACAGATCAACGTTATTATTACAACTCGAAGATGAAGGCATTCCCAATATTTCCGCATGGCATATCATACACACTTTCATTAAATAATTTCCAAGGTGGTACAAAAATGATTTGACTAAGTTAAAACTGGATAAAGTTTTTAAAATACGGTCTTAAATAATTGCAGTCGCTACTGCTGCTGCTGCTATCGAGGATATTATTCTTATTGTCAATGTCAACACTTGTTCCAGCAAACAACATAGATAGACTGACTGCTAGCTGACAACGTTGGTCTCTTCTACGATTGGTGTTTTCTGCTTGCTCGGTAAGTCGAATATTAATCAAAATGTGTAATTTTCTGACTAATTAAAGCTCTAGTGCCGTTTGCTTTTTTCAGATACTAGACCGATTGTCGTAAACTCTGAATTGTACCGATTCATTGCTTAGAAAAAATGTCTACTAAAATCATTTTTAAATTATTTGTTAACTTTTTATTTGGTTTCTTTAGAGTCGTCACTTTTTTATTGTTTATGTTTGAAATATTTTACAAGTACATACAATTCACGAATAGATGAAAACCAACTGTACATAATTTTATTTTTGATTAAGATATACCGGCTTTGTTATCACATTATCAAATGTCACCTACAAATATATATATATACTAGCAGTAGAGCCCGGAGTTGCCCGGGGATGTAACAGTAAGAGATAGATCAAATATCGACCATCATAAAGACTGAAAAATAAAATTGACAAAGATTATTGTTTAAGGTTGACGGACACGCATGTCTTAATAAGTTTTTTTTTTTTTTTACGAATTGGTCAAACCCAAACTCAAACAGAAACATTGTTTTCAATCATTATGAGTCTACCGAATGAATAGAATTTTATTATAAACAATTGTCTTGTAAATGGAATTTTTAAAGCATTCTGAATGTAAATAAAGAAAAAAGTGTGCAAGATAATAAGAAATACTACCTGCAAAAAACACGTGGATGTTTGTTTTATCGGCTGAAAAATGTAAGAAATCCGATCCCATATATAAAGGAACACACACACACACACACACACACACACACACACACACACACACACACACACACACACACACACACACACACAAACAAACAACCTGGGTTTTTTAACCTAAGTCACTCCACGGAATCACTAAAACATAGAGCATAGTCTGAAGAAAAAGACGCTAAAGTTTATGAAAACAAAATTTTATCGTCAAAATGCTTATGTTTTTATGAAAAGGATAGACTAAATTTTTTTTTAATTATTTTTTAAAATTTTTCCATCTTTTTAGAATATTCTAAATTTTCATTTAAAACCGTTGTTTCTCTTTGTCGCAACAAGGGGTTTTAAATAACATAGATAATTTTTAGCGCGTTTTTTTTTGTATTTACACACATTAATTTGGAAAATCTTGCAAAAATAAAAATAATTGTCAGATGTTAATGAAACTTTCAAAAACTATTCACAGATGATCGAAATTATTATATAAATGGTTTTTTTTTATTAAAGTCATGGCAGAAATATTTTTTTTATATTTATTAACACCCCCATAACTAATTTTATGAAAAACTCTAGAAATTCGAGACCATCGGTTTTAGTGATTACAATAGTTAAAAGCACAAGGCTTTGAAGAATGCAAATCATGTATTTTTTTGTTTTTTTTTTTTTTTTTTGGCCAACGTACCTGAAAATCAGCTGTGAATTGTAACATACAAAACTCAATAAAACAAATATATTATTTAGTTTCAAATGCTTTTATTTGTTTTAATTTGTTTTTATGAATATGGACAATATTTTCTGGAAGCAAAAAAATTTTTCAATGAAAATTGAATTTTAATACAATTATTTCTTATTTCTTTAATTTTAAAAGATTTTAAAAAATGTTTAAATTGAATTTTAAAAATATTTTAACATTAGTTAAATGCAACATCAACCTTTCAAAATGTCCGTGTGAGATTGTCATTGTCTAGCGCTTTGAAAATTGTATAATTTGGACCAATCAGATTAGCCAAGGTAATTAAGAAATGTATTTTTTGTGTTTATAGTCGGATAGTAATTATCAAGTACGGAAGACCAACCAGAATACAATTTAGTTGCATTATTTGAGTTCAGCACTGTTCTCCGCTGTTAAGCCCTTTACTTTTTGCGAAACACGTATGGAGAAGTTAATTTGAGTTTTCAATTTCAACTGAGAAGGGTACCTACAAGTAACAGTATCATCTTATGAAATTTAACTACTGCTAAACTTTAATTTATATGATCTTATTTTTTATATTAATCTCAGTTATGACCTTTTTCCATAAATGAAATATCAAAATTAATAATAAAATGAATGGAAATACAAATAACACAGTAAAATGTAATAAATGTACATAAAATTATAGTATTTTATGTACACTTTGATAAATTTCATAAGAAAGGTACCTAAATTAATTAGATACCTTTTTTCTTATGAAATTTAATCTCACTATAAACAGTCTTATTTTTTAATTTCTTTATATTTTCCATAAAGCATCGTAAACGTAAAAATGAAAGCTAAGTACAAAAAAAAAAATAAAAAATAAAAAATAAAAAATTAGAGCGCTGAAAGTTGTCCTTAAAAGTAACGAGGTAAATAATTTGTTCACTTAAATAATTTCACTTCCTTCCATCCGTAGAAAGAATTACCCTCCCGTAAGTTATCTAAACGTCATGAATGTGCCTTTCGTCAATCGTCAAGCGACGTGAAAGATTATGACCTGCTTTGTTTTATTTTCAAATTACATTTTTTCGTCGCAGAATCTAAGTTAAGCTTGGTTCAAAATATTTTAAATAAACAGTATAATATCTGTTTTTATTAAAATCAGTTTTGAAAAAAATGATAATTGATTTTTAAAAGAATATCAAAATAAGATTTTAATCTTTTTTATCAAATCGAAAAAAATGATTAAAAATGATTGATTATCTGTCCTTTTTTTTTACCAAAACAAAAAAACTATATTTTTAACGAAAATTTCAGACGTGCTAGGAACGATTAAAAAATGTAAAAAAAATACTCCCAAAATACTTTGATCTTTCCTCTTTAATAATAATATGAACATTAGACGATAAAATTTTGTTTTCGTCAAGTTCGGCGTCTTTTTCATCATGCTATGCTCTTTTGTTTACATTTTCGTGGGTGAGTTGTCCCCCTTTCATTCTCACGATGTGTCTTAATCGTGTTTTCAAATTGATTTTCTTAAAAAACAACTGTGTTTTTCCCATTTTCGGCGCCGTTAGAACCACCAAAAGGTAATTTTATGTAGTCCTGTGAAGTTTTGTTGAAATCGGCTAAAAAATGTAGGAAATTCGATCCAACATATAAACGTTAACACACACACACACACACACACACACACACACACACACACACACACACACACACACACACACACACACAACCTGCGTTTTAT